CAGGGACACACCAGATATGCTTTACCTACTGAAGGTTTCACAAACTCCCCAGACAGCGCCATCACCTGGGGACCAGGCATCCGAACAGCAGGACCACGTGAGCGCTGCCAGACAGGATTTGGCCTTGGTGGCAGGATATTCATTTAGAGATGGCCTCAGAGACTAGCTCGATGGAAACAAAGTGGCTCTGAGGAACTCTGAAGTTCTGCCACAATTCATTCGCTTCAGCAAATGCACACAGAACTGTCTGCTCTGAGGTGGAATCCAAAGCTCAAAGATGGGCCCTTGATGGTTGTGTAACCCAGTGAGGAAAGCAGAGAAGGCAAAAAAGAATTCAGTCTCACAAAGTGTGTAGAGGGGACAATGTGTTGAGTAGGAGAATTAGGCAGGCCCCACTCACCTGTGCAAGCTTTCTACCTGAGCAAACAGGCTATCCCAGAGAAGGGCCCAGGAAAGCAACGCAGATGGCACCTCATGTTGAAGTCCCTGCCCTCCGTCTGGTTACTCTGGCCTCGACTGCTACACCCTGATGAAGGTCTGTGGTCTTGTAGTTGATAGAAAGATGTCCAGACACTCACCCGGGAAGCTGCCCCCACGGTGTTTCTGTTCAGTTCCCAGTGAGTGACAGACACAACACAGGTTGTTGTGACTGTGGAGTGGACACCAGAAGCCTGGACATCAGGAAGAGACTATGTGTGAAGATGCTCAGACGGACTGGCTCATGAACAGAATTACCAGAGTTACAGGAAATAGAGGCCTCTCAGGAAGGCTGGGGAAGGTTTCAACCCCACCATTGAACCACAAGGAGCACATCTGCTCCCGGACAGAACAATAATTTTCTGGCTAACAACATGATCTTTTGTTTTATTTTGTCTTTTTTGATATAGGGTCTATGTGGCCCAGGCTGGCCTAAAGTTCACAATCTCCCATTTCAGTCATTAGGATTAAGGGGAACCTAGCTGATACGATTTTTCTCAGATGTCCTTATTTCGAATAACTTCCTAACATTTGTGGTGTAGTGGCCTAGAATTTCACGCCTTCTAAAGTCCCAAGAAACATAAGAAAATACTCCTGTTGTTTGGCTTTGATTCTGTCTGCAGAAGAGAGTGCTCCGTGAAGAGGGGTCAGGTGATGGTCAGAAGACAGATCAAAAGGCTGTGTGTGTGCACATGTCCAGAAGAGTCTAACAGTAGAGGACAGAAACCAGTTACAGCTCACAGCAAGCCCACTGTAATGAGTCTCTCCCTGTCCTGACAGTCAGCTTCCAAATAATTATACAGAGACTTATTATTAATGATGAAAGCTTGGCCTTTAGCTTAAGCTTGTTTCAGCTAACTCTTATAACTTAAATTAACCTCTATTCTTTATTAATCTACGTTCTACCACACGGCTTTTACCTCTATCACATTCTGTATGTCTGACTTGTTCCGCATCTGGATGGCTTCCCAACCTTTCTTCTTCCCAGAGTCCTCTCTGTCCCCGGAAGTCCTGCAAAACATCCTCCTGCCTAGCTATTGGCCATTCGGCTCTTTATTAAACCAATCAGAAGGTGCCTGGGCAAAAACACATCTTTGCAGTGTAAACAAATATTCTGTAACAGCCCACAGTAACAGTCATGCTTGCTGCTAGTCCCTCTTCCTTTCTGTGGGATTCTGGGGCCTGCCTGTGTGTATGTTCTCAGGAAGAGCACAGAAACAGGTCCACTAGTAGACTCGCTAGTGCAGCCACTAGGCTTGAAGGGAAGATAGTCGTAGAAAGTATGGCTGCCAAGAACTTGAGTGTCCATGTGCCGATGGCTAGCTGCCAGGTTGGGATTTCTTGATTTGTTAACAGTGAAGGTTTCTAATCTGCTTCACATCAACTCTGTGACACACATAGGGGGTGGGCTAGGAATCTTAATTTCTGCAAGGACAGCAAATTATTATGGAAGCACCCCAAACCCCACCCTACCCCCTACACCTGTCCCGGGCCCTGGTACTGTCAACTCTGTGGTATTGAGGAAAGAAAGAGAAGATCACCTGAAAGGTGGATGCTAAGAAAACATCCGAGTGTGGACGATGGAGACGCCTAGCACGGCTTCCATAAGAATCGCTGAGGGAGTGAAGGGAGAGAACCTCTGTGAGGTGAAGCTGGAGAGAGGGATGCACAGGACCAACAGCAGGGACTGTCCCGCTCAGCTTTTGTTGCCAATGGGTGTTGTGGGAGGCCGCTTGGTCACTTGTTCATTTCCTGGCTACTCAGCCCCAAAATAACCACACAGAAACTATATTAATTAAATCAATGGTTGGCCCATTAGCTCTATCTTATTGACTCTTACATCTTAATTTAACCCATTTATATTAATCTGTGTATTGCCACGTGCTTACCAGGTAAAGTTCTGGCGTCTGTCTCAAGTGGGGCTACATGACTTCTTCCTGACTCTACCTTCTTCCTTCCAGCATTCAGGTTAGTTTTCCCTACCTAGCTAAGTTCTGCCTTGCGGTAGGTCCAAAGCAGTTTCTTTATTCATTAATGGTAATCACAGCAAAAAGAGGGGACTCCCACATCAAATGGGGAACAGCCTAGAGTGGTCTGGGGGGGGAGGTGTCAAGCCTACCCTGAGGGATTGCCCAGATCAGACTGGAAGTGGACATGTCTGAGGCTGATTGTTAATTGATATAGGAGGGTTCAGCCCACTGCCCACTGTGGGCAATATCATTCCTAGGCAGGCAGTCTTTAGCAGCAGAAGGGAGCTAGTATGAGCCTGGGAGTGAGCTTCTGCTTCAAGCTCCGGCTTGAGTTCCAGCTCTGACTTCCCTCCGTGATGAATTGTGGCCTGAATGTGGGAGCCAAATGAGCCTTCTTCCTTCTAAGTTGCTTTTGGTCAGAGTGCTTTATCTCAGTAACAGAAGAAAACCAGCAGCAGGAATGCAGACTCGTTTTGGGAACCATGAGCCAAGATGGTAACCGAGACCCTGTGGATGGGTTAGATTTCTGCTGCTGCTAGAATTTTTGTAATCAGCATCGAAATGCTACACGGAGCACTGTGGTCCTCTTATGATGCAGGGTACCAGTTGCTGAGAAAGACACCACTCACCGTGGACTTAACGCAGCACAGAATCCAGCTGTGGTAGGACACAAAACAGTGTTCAAACGCACACTAATCTAACAAATTCACAGTGCTCGTCATGCAGCAGAGTTTTCTAGTCACCCTAGAATGTGGCTCATCAGAAGGTGACCTCAGTGCGGTTGTAAAAGCCGATTTCATAAGGTGATAAAGGCAGACAGTAACGGCTTAGAGAACGCTAAGCAAGGATTTAGTCCCAGAGAGGGCGCCTAGAGTGTTCGTCCAGCAATGCATGACTTTACTGAATGTCTTATTTGTGTCTGTCCTGTTACAGCCACCAGAACTTTGGCAGTCAACAAAACAAGCCAGAATCCTTGCTCTCATGGTTTATGCTTTGATGAGGAAAAAAGAGTTGAGAAACAAAAAAGAGCTGGGCATAGTGCCACGTGCCTTTAATCCCAGCACTCGGCAGGCAGAGGCAGCTTTGTGAGTTTGAGGCCAGCCTGGTCTACATAGCAATCCTGTCTCAAACAAACAAACAAACAAGAAGAAAATGAAATACTAAGGCAGATCAAAGGGTGACAAGTTTTTTGGAGGAAAATAAGTAGTATTTGGGGATTGATGGGTAACTGCAGTATCGAAGATGTTCTTTAAGGAATATCTTATTTAAGGCCAAAAAAAAAAAAAAGACATTTAAACAAGACTAAAAGGCGAAGATAGAAGAGGATGCACTGGGCATTGATAGCACGGGAGATGGGTGAGAACAGCTTTAGAGGAAAAAGCCAACCTCCCCTCTTCAAAGAGCAGCCAGGGGTCAACGTGAATACATGAGAAGAAGGAGGTGCACTGCTAGAGACAAGGAAGAAGGTAGGGTAGCCAACAGCCTAAGGCAGCCAGAGTCTTGGGAGAATTTTGCTCTTACATTAAGTGCAATGGGAGCCAATGGGGAACTCAAGGCAGACTGAGCTACTCTGACAGTTAGGGCACTTCAGCTTAGCAGTCTGAAAGTAGACTCCACGTCTTTCCTCATCTATAAAATAGTGGCGATGACTCTAATGTGAGGGTGTTGTGACAATTCAATAACATTGTAAGCAAAAACACTTAGCAGTTACTTGGCGCCTCCTGGGCCTCCCACCTCGTGCTGGGAGGAAGAGGTCAGGGTACGAAGAGTGACAGTTTGGCCAGCTGACATTACTTCGGGGATCTACTGGGACAGTTTCCTGGGCGGCTGATGATGTGGCTGCTGCAGAGACTCGGCAGGGTGGGTGGGCAGTCCCTTCGGCGGCGCGGGCCCCGGCTCTGCAGGCCTCCATCGATGGCACTCCCTCGGTGGTGGCTCAGTGCAGTCTCTGGGAAGGCGTGTTTATCCGCCTCCCGGTTTAGCTCTGGATGTGAACCGAGGAACGTTCGAACGCCTTGCACCTCGTGTCCGGAGGGGTCCCCCCGGATCTGCCCCGTGCAGCCAGAGCAATCTCACAAACCAGCTCTGCCTGTGGTTTCCGGGCCGGGAAGCCAGCCTGGGTCTCCCTAGAGAGACCCCGCCCGGGTTAGAAGGCTGCAGGCTCCCGACCCTCCAGCCAAGCGACCACGCGGAGGGCAGCGGCCGGGGTCCGCCCCCGGCGGGACTGCGCGCGCCCGCCTGCCCGCCCCCGGGGAGCAGCGGGCGACCCGAAGCGCGAGCCCGGGGGCCGGGGGTCGGTGTGGGGCCACCGCCTTCTCTCAGCACGCTCGCGCGCCGCCGCCCTAGGCCCATCCCGGCCGCCGCTTCCCGCCCCGGTTCCCGCTGGGCTCGGCTCGCAGCGCCGAGGCCGCTCCCTCCCTCCCTCCGTACTCCCGCCCCCGCCCGCCCCCCGCGCGCGCGGCCGAGGCGGAGCCCTGAGCGCATCGATTGGCCTGCCTCCTTGCGCCCGCCCGCCCTCCGGGCCCATCGCGCGCTCCGGGCTCGACTCGGCAGGCGGCTGCCGCGGCGGCTGAGGCGACGAGCGCTGTGGCGGCGACTGGGGCGGCAGAGGAAGGCGGCGGCGGCGGCCCGGTCCGGAGTCCCGCTCCGCTCCCCGCGCCATTTCGGACCCGGAGCGAGCTTGGCGCGGGCCTGAAGGAGGCGGCGGCGGCGGGAGCCTGAGGCGCGGAGGCTCCGCGGCGCGGAGAGAGAGGTAGGGCGCGGACGGCGGGAGCCTGGGCCGCTTGCCCGGGTGCCGAGCTCGGCGCGGCCGGCCGGGCGGGGCCGCGGCGCTGAATGAAGCCGGCTCGGGGAGGCGGGCGTGGGGCGCCGAGGTCGGGCGGCCGCCGCTTCCTGGACTGGGGAAGCCTTCCTTCCTCCTCCGCGCCACCCCGGCCTCCCCGCTCACCCGCCCGCCTGCCCGCCAGCCCGGCCTCGGCTGCAGCCGGCATCCTTGCCCGGCGCTCGGCTCAACTTGTCGGGCGAGCCCCCCCCCCCCCACACACCCCAGGTCGGGTGCGAGCCCCCGGGGAGGTGGCGGCGGGAAGTGCTCTCACCCCGCGGCCGGAGGTCCTGGTGGATCTCGGGGGAGGGAGGGGGGGGGGGATATGCATCTGCCGCCGGGTTCGCGACCGCTCCCCTCCCCCACGCGTGTCTGGGCTGTGACATTGCCGCGGCCACAAAGGAGGAGGTGGAGGTGGCGGCGACGGTGGTGGCAGAACAGGTGGCCCACGCCCTGCGCGGAAAGCCCGCGACCCGCAGGGGAAAGCAGAAAAGTTAATGCGGCAAGTCTGGGTGGCTTTGTGTGTGCGGAGCCGGAGCAACGGCGAGAGCCGAGGCAGGGGGCTGGCCCCGAGTGGAGGGAGCGCAGGCAGCTCGGCTCTCAGAGCCTCAAGTTTGAATCGCCTGCTGTCCCGGCCCCTTTCCAATCTGACTCCAGAGTTCATTGTAGCCTTCGGGCGGACCACTGTGAAATTCTCTCAGCCCCAGCCCAGAGCCAGCCTTGTGAAAGCTCGATTTTCATCAAGGCAAGGAGTGTTAAAAAACAGAATGACATGTTACGTCTATCGTGGAAGAATCGTCCGAGAAGACATGTTGAAAGGAAAGGCCTGTTCCTGATAATCACTTGGGAATTAGCCGTCTGTCTGGTGTCACTCCTGGACCGGGGGCCGGATTGCGGACCCGACATGTGACACACAATAGACATCAAGTGTGCTTGGTGTCAGTACATTTACTTTGAAACTGTAACCATCCTCGGGCATCCTGGGCTTTAAGAGATGGCAGTAATTTCATTTTACACCTTTTTTTATTATTATCAAAATTATTGGAATCTAGTCCCGGTCACACCCCTTTTGTAACTGGGCGGGAAGTGGGGGGTCTTTCTGACGTGAGATCTTCCTTGAGTAAGACATCTTTTTTTCTAGTGGACTTAAATATTACTAGGTTTTAAAAACCCGACTTGAGAATTTTTATTTTTAGCAAAAACTAGTGTGTAAGTAAGTACCAGGAGACATGCCTCTAGTCACGCGTGTGATCTAGTATCTGTCCCCAGTAGACTCTAAGTTGTCCTGGAGGACTTCTTTACACCCCTAAACAATTATTGAGGACCTCAAAAGTCCTTTGTGGGGACATACCAGTATTTACCACATTAGAAATGACAATTTTTTATTTTTCAGTTAATTTAGAGCTAGAAATAACATGCCTGTTGGTACACGAATGCATTTTTAATGAAAAATAACTTTTCTCAAGCAAAATATGAAATAGAGTGGCATTGTTTTACATGTTAGCAACCTGTTTAATTGTAGGTCTTCACTGGACATAATTGTATTCTCTCATACCTGCATCTTATGTCACTGCACTCGGAGAAGTGTAGTAAGAAGGCTGAAGTACAGTTGTGATAAAAACAGTCTCACCTCTTGCTCCGCACACACACAGTCTTAGCCCCACTAGGGTCCCTCCACTGCCCTGTCAGCTAGCACACGTTTGCGGGAGGGGCAGAGGTCCCATTTCCACCTGATTCCTTTCCTGCCGCCTGCATCTGTTATCAAACTCAAGGCAAACAGGTAAGTTCTGTTAGTACTGGCTCCCAGGACGGCTCTAGGCAGACCAGGAGCGGATAGGTGGGGCGGAGGAGGCAGGGGGTGGGGGTGGGATGAAGGTCTGGTAACAGTGGTTTCCTGACCTTGTGGTACTGTTACTGAGTGGCTCAGGCACGAGGTGAGGACAGGGTGTTGGAAAAACAAAGTGCATTTGTTTCCTCTTCGTGGCTGCCTGAATAATTCTTGGTCATCAAGTAGACTGTAGTTTGTGTTTATTTACACTATACACACATACATTGATGTGGAACTAGTCTACAATTCTGGCTTACTGCCATTCTTTTACATCCATGCCCCCTTTTATTTGTAATAATATGTATTCTATGAGGGAAAGGAGATAAAATGATTATGTTCATTTTGTTTAAAAAAGTTTGGAGTGGCAACAAAAAAATAACAGATTTTTTTTTTCTGTTTGGGGAGTTAACTGTATAAATTGCCAGTTGTCCCTGCACCTGTTGGAAGACAGTGTCCTGTAAGCAGAGTAAAAGTTGCAGCCCCTGCTGAGGAACTCTTCCTAGCCGTCATATTTTTCTCTTGTCAAAAGTAGTGTTTATCTCTGAATTTTACTCCATTTTATTTTTCTTGTACACAGGTACTGTTTTTTAGTACTCATTTAGGATTATATATTATAATTGATGTGATCACTTATGCGGAATAGTTGATCCCCACACCCTTAAGACACTCCTACTCTTTAGCTTTGTTTCCCCCACAGGGACCTTACAGGTAAGATGTCATCAGGTAGTATCTCTTTGAAAATGCCACATGTTTGTTCAGTACCTAGGTTCTTCTTTGCCCACAATTCAGTTTGGACACTAGACTCCTATTTTGTTGCCTGTCAGGGAGATTTCTTCAACTGTTGGCTCCAACAAAGACACTCTTGGCTACCTGCTTCTAACTGAATATCCAGACCGCAAGAAGTGCAGGGTGGGTGTGGGGATAGCTGTCAGCAGCTTCTGTGGGTGTGTCCCAGGGTACATGTGCTCAGTGAGATCATGACTGTTCCTCTGAGAGCCATAGCTGTTTGATCAAACAAGCTGAATGAATACAGGACAAAGGAATTGGTTTCCCTGTATTTTTATTAAGTGTTGATGAGGTTGTAGGCACAGCTCACTCCTGTGTGAATCTGCAGTCACTGAGTTCCCAATGCCTTAGAGTTTTACATAGAAAGGTGAGTGTTAAGATATTGATAAGAGAATTTGGTAATCTTGTGTGCTACATGTTCTAATTTAGTTACATTTTTATTATTTTTATTATAAGGCCTGCTGAAAATGACTGAGTATAAACTTGTGGTAGTTGGAGCTGGTGGCGTAGGCAAGAGTGCCTTGACGATACAGCTAATTCAGAATCACTTTGTGGACGAATATGATCCTACAATAGAGGTAAATCTCACTTTATATCCTATCTATGATTTGTGTAGGGCGGTCGTCCTTTGCATAAAAAGATACCTCTGATCACTTTTGTTTTTATGAGAAAATTACACTGAATGTTCTTTCAATTCTATGTCATGTCCTTTAGTTTCAAGACTTTAAACTGAGTGATAGTAACCATAGATGCCAGGAACCCGACTTCTCTCAAGAGAATGTACAGAGTAAGGTACAGGGTGCCCACTGTGTGCTTGTATTTGCATTTTGATAAGCATATGTTATGATTTTGTGAGCTGAGAATATAGATTTGCATTTGACCTCAAGGTTTTTTGTTTTGTTGTTTGGTATTTTGGAGTCAGGGTCTCACTATGTAGCTCTGACTATTCTAGAACTCACTATGTAGACCAGACTAGCTTTGAATTCATATAGATCCTGCCTTGCCTGCTCTGCCTCCCAATTGCAGGACTAAAGAGGTGTACCACCATGCCCAGCACAAGTCATTCTTTTGAATGCATTTTATTTTTCTGAGTTTTTTGGAATTTTGATGTGATGGAGAAAATTTGATTATACTAGAAAAATAAAATCATTTGATGGTTGAGTTATTTAAATAATACAATTTGATGAGTAAGATCTTCAGGATTATTTTCAGACATTTTTTATTTCTTAAAATCTTAATCAGTTAAAGGCCAACTGCTAAGTAATAAAATTAAAACCTGGACGAGATCATGAAAAATCAGGTAATGTGTCCTATTGCTGGCAATAGGTTTACATTTTCCAGAGCAAAGAAGGGGTTATTCAACCTCCAAGACCAGGGGAGGAGCTGTTCTTTAATTGTGCTTGTTAACTCATTTCTCACAAGGTTATTCACACATTTATGTGTGGTCTAAATATATTAAATTTAACATCAGTGAAGCCTTTGAAATAGCTTTTATTGTTAGATTATTTCTTAGACATCTTTACCGCAGTGTGAAGATGTCCCAGTCCCTAGCTTATATTCTTTGTTCTAATGTCCCATTTTTAGATTTTCGAGGTAGGTGCTACTGTTCCCCAGGTGGACCTTCAGATACCTGAGGCCTGGCTTGAAGTCTTGGTCCTCCAGCTTCTACCTCTTGAGTGACCCCTGTGCCTCCGTGCTCCTGTGGAGCAGGCTGTGCTGGGGAGTCAAACCCGGGGCTTCTGGTGTGCTAGCCAGCCCTCTGTCCTCTACATTCCTGTTTCATGAGCCAGTTTAAAAAGAAAAAAAAAAGTTCTGAAGAATTTTGTAGAGCTTTGGAATCTCTAGCTATGATACCTCAAATAAGTCAGTGCCCTGTTATGTCTCTCTGTGTCTTGAAGAAACACTGAGCTGAGATGGGTTTTGAGGGCACTGGTAAACTTGGAAAAATGTTTATATAACTTAGAACATTGAAGGTTGATTAAATAACTGTTAGGAAGTGTCAAATAGTTTTAGTAGTACACCACCTTCCAAAAATAGAGCAGAATGCTTATTTGAGAAGATTTGACTTAAACATAAAATTGACTTTAATTTGGTTTCCAAATTTACATTTAAATTGGTGATGTAGAGCTCCTATGTACTATTCTTTATACATTTATTTTGACAGGTCAGTTCAGTGCTGTAGGTAGTTCTGCTTTCTTCTTTGAGGAAGATCAAAGAGTTGACCCATTTTGAATGATGTTCTAAATCATGGTTGCTCGGTGTGTTCTACCATTTAAACCCAATGTAAAAGGAAGTTTAATAGAAGACATGAAGCGTAGACGTTTTCCTGCGATTTGGAAGATGACGTCAGCAGAAGTAATCATCTTCCTTGGAAATCCGAGCAATTCCATTGTACTTTCTGCTGTTCAGTCATACAGCTTCATGGATATATACAGCATGAGGCCAGACGTGCAGGATAAAATAGTTTAGGAATCCTTTAGCTCAGAGTTGCTAAAGTTGCTAGCCCTCCATTATGTGTAAGGAAAGTAGAAAAGGTTTACAAATTTGAGTCTCTTGCTCTGATTATGATTTCTGCCAAGCCAGAAGACTTGACTCTGGGGAGCACTGATAACCTGTGAACTTTGAAACTGACATTCCCCCAGGTAGTTTAGCCTTCTGGAGAAAAGCATCAGATTGTTCGTTATCTTACAAGCTGTGGTGAGTCTCCAAAGAATGGACATGGTAGTTTTTTGGGGTAGTCCATTTCTAAAAAGACTTTAAAGAGACTTGATTAAATGAAAATGCCAGCTTCATACTTTACAAAAAGTTTTAATTGATGAAAAAATGTGGTCAGAGAGAAGATTCATGGAATCTGGGTCTGGTGGCATATACTACTCTGAGTCAGGAGGATTTCCAGTACAAGACCTGCTTGCATAACAGATGAGGTGGAAGGACAGCCTGGGCAACTTAATCAGACCCCATCTTAAAGTGAAAAATAAAAGATGGCCAGGTGTAGCCCATTGGTGAAGTGCATGTACTTTGGTTCCATTAGTTTCTCTACTTTTAAAAAAATGGCAAGAAATTTTTTAAAAATTTAAATGATAGTATCACCAAATTTTATTTTAGTGACTTAGAATTTGTGAAAATTTTGATTTTTTTTTTTTTTTTTACCTATAAACTTGTGAGGTGTTCTAATGGGCCTAAGGATATTTAGCTACTTAGTAGTAAGACTGAACTTAAGTTTTCTGAAAACAAGTGATTTCCACTATTGTATTTTTGTTGTGGTTGCTTTTTGGGTTTTGTTTGTTTGAGACAAAAACAAAACAACAAAAGCTTGTTGTTATTTGTATTTTTAACCTATAGGTACAACCTGTGATTATATCAGTTTATAAATTTATACACACAGGGTTTCTCTGTCTAGCTCTGGCTGTCCCAGAATTCACTCTGTAGACCAGGCTGGCCTCAAACTCAGAGATCCACCTGCCTCTGCCTCTGTAGTGCTGGGATTAAGGGTGTGTGCAATTGCTGCCTGATCACTATGGTATTTTTTAAAAGTAAGAAAGTAGCTGTCTTTCAAACTAAGAAAATATTTAATAATCTTTTAGACTATTCATCAGTATACTATGACTTGAATTTAATTTTCTAATGACAACCTTATGGAAGATACATAACAGAGAAGAACACGGGTGTGCCCCTAAAACACATTAACATTGGACACAGTGTAGATGAGAATCACCTTTTCTGTTCTGAAATATTTTTGTCTTTTATGAAGTCCACTAAAGTTTTTCAAAGAAATAATTAACTTGTTAGAGAGACATGGTTATTACGACCTTGTAGGAAGTCCTCAAACAATACTCAACTAGAAATAGCAAAGAATTAACTAGCCCAGAATATCAGTGGTTCTGAGGTTAAATAAAGTCTTGTGTGTTGCATATAGCTTTAAACATTGCTCAGATTATCAAGTTTATGCGCCAGTAGGAACTTTTACTTTGGTTTTCAAGTATGACAGAGGTTTAAGTTTACCTTCTGTAAAGTTAGATTACCGTGCATTGTGCTGTCTTTCTCTGAAGGTGTATTAAAACATTGTGACTTGAAAATAGTCTTATTTTAAAAGCAGTTTTGTTTGAAGAACACTTGGGGAGTTTTCTTTGAAGCTGTGACCAGCTCTTCTCCCTTTGGTGAGTGCCCTCTGCTGGTAACTTACTCGCTTTTATAATAGAGAACAATGAAAACTCAAGTTTGTTATTTTTTGTATTTTAAGCTATAGATATAACCTGTGATTCTATCAGTTTATAAATCTATCAACTTTACTTGGATGTCTTGTGTAATTAATAGCTTTACATTTTAAAATAAGTTTTACTCTGCTAATTACTGATACAGAGATTACCATGTATATTACCTAGTCCTAGCTACGTAGGTGAAATATGTATGAGACAAAGGGAGACAAAGTAGAACAGACTGCATTTCCTTGTAAGTGCTGGTGGGCTTAGCTTGTTGGATGAAAGGACTAAAAGCTGCAGTCCTTGCTTGTGCTCTGGGGCCACTGCATGGACTTTGAAGCATTGTGTGTCAACAAAGGATTCTAGGAAGGGCTTGTTCAAAATGACAAACTGTGAAGGTTCCCATTTTGTATACCAGTTGTCTGTTAGAAAATCCACAAAATTCAGGCAGTGTATTTTGATCAGTATTGAGTGTTTACTTAGTATTTATTTAGATCTGAATTTTAAAACCTTGTTGGCTGTGTATCTTGAGATTTTTATGAATAGGTTTTAACAAAACCTGGAATCCCTTAGTTCATAAAATATTATTCAAAGCTCACTTTGTCTCATGAAGTTTTCCTGAGGTTTGGAGAAACACGAGGAGCCAAAAGGCTAGATGACTTTCCTTCATGACGCCTACTCGTCTTAGATGTAATTTTAGGAGCAGAATTTAGTTTTGATCCAAGGCTATATACTTTGAGAGCATTAATTTCTTGCCTCTTTGTTGGGAATGAAGCTCCTTGGTAGAGTTCTTACCAGGCACGTGGGTGCCAGGAACTGAACTCGGGTCTTCTGCCTGAGCAGTATGTACTGCTAACTGCTGAGCAACCCAGGCCCTATTATTGTGATCTTAATTTAATAAAATTGGTAGGAATGAATAATGATGAATATTGAGAGAGTTAGGGATGGATGTAGCAACTGCCTTAGATAATGTTATCAGTTTTTAGTAAAGTCCATCATGTAGGGAAGTCAGGGCAGGAAATGGAGGCAGGAACTGAAGCAGAGGCCATGGAGGAGTACTGCTCACTGACTTGCTCTCCATGACTGGCTAAACTTACCTGCTTATTCAATTCAGGACTGCCTGCTTATGGTAACTCCACTCACAGTGCTGGCTGGACCCTTCCCACATTAACCATTAGCCAAGAAAATATCTCACAGACTTGCTTAAGAGGCCAGTCTGATGGAGGCATTTTCTCAATTGAGGTTTCTTTCCCAGATATGGCCCTTCCTGTGCCAAGTTGATAAAAAAAAAAAAAAACAAAACCTAAATAAACAGAAAAACTACCAAGCAGTACAGAACTCAGACACATACTTTAATATTAGATAGTATTGCTAGGAAG